TACGAAAATCTGAGCATGCAACACGACAAGGTCATTCCTGCTCAAAAATCAACTATTGCTTATCAATTTTGTTTGGGAGAAGCAAAAACGCACTAAATTTTAGAGAAAAGCTAAATGTCATTATTTTGAACAGGCGTCTGTGCACAAAGATCACTTTACTGCCACTTCATGCAAAATTATTATAATAGCTTATGCATTGGACGTAATCTTGAATGTAACTAATTGGGCATTGTGAGTTGTGGATTTATTCTATCTATGGTACCATTGCTGAATTACCCTTGCAATACTTCGACGCGCATAACTTCTAGTAAACCGCGTGCGCGTGGTAATATTTTTAAAGCAGATAACCATGAGGTGTTTAAAGTTGCGTCATGATTGCTCAAATTTATTCCTCAATGCAAAACACGTTAGTGATTTGCGTTTCGAATTAACTCGGTTTTACCGTTACATCGCTAACATTCTTAATGTTTCGATTTAAATATTTACCGGATATTTAGCTCATGTTCAAGTTTAAGGAGGTTTATTAAACTTTCATTTGTAAAGTAGTTTTTCTTATTCACTTCTATTACAGCTATTATTGTAAGATTTTATATTGGGCAAAATATTATTAGAACGTTCACTCCAACTGAACAGGAAACGCAGTTTCCTGGACACTTCCTATATGAGATTATATGGACCAACAGTTAATAAGAAAATGTAATTATATAGCGTTAGGATTTTGATTACAATGCGCGTTCTCGATTGGTAGTGAACATGCATTAAGGGTCTTATCGTTTGCTTATTGTTTAACGCTCCCGGATGCGGTGTAATGTCGTTTGTAGCTGCTAGAAAAGACCACGCTCTCCCCTTTAAGAAAACTATTACCTATATGACGATTACTTTTTTCTAACAATCAGTAGCATATCCCTATTCTTGCCTGGCGCTGGGAAGTTGCGTTCTAATGGGCTGTTTTCTGGAACACCGGTGCCATTCTGTACAGGAGAAACACAAATACATTCAGAACTTTTGGAGGAGAAATGTGAGTTCTTACGTTAAATATATAGCTGGTTTTCTTGGTCTCTAAATATGGTGAATACACAATTGGCATTAGGTATAAGTAGTGCTTTTCTCCGCTCCTTTCGATTCCACACAATCTTTACTGCATTTATAGGATCTGCAAAGACATTTAGACTGGACTGGAATGTGTATTGTGATTTTCAATCAACATTTCTACTTGAAAAGACTTAAGATGCACCGACTCCAGGATGCAGAACGTCGTTCTCATATTTGCCCCGGTTTCATTTTCTAATTTTCTCTCGATATCCATGGATTTATCTTCGAACTGCACCCACCTCAAGGGGAACTTCAAACTCCTATGTAAGGGAAGGTGTTAAGAAAGTAGACAGCATTCTGGACAGATTCTCCATTATTGTGGGGTTTTATTCCATCATTTAGAAGACCATTTTTAAACTTTAAAGGCGCAGAGTTATCTAGATGGACAATTCGAGCTTGGTTATTGACCATTAACAGCTTTACTGGGGGATGTAAAACACACAGCTGCCTCGTTCTTGTTTCAAAAAATAAAGTTCTCTACCGCAGATTGTGAATAGATGCTAGTAAAAAAGTTATACTTTGATTGTGCTCTTGGGTTGGTTAAATGACTGCACAACAATGGAGGGTGTACATATCTAGATTTGGACAACTCTCTACAGTGTTGGCAATACATTTTCTTTTGAAAGTTGAAAAGCGATACGATACTGAGCCAATATTGCGACGGTGGGAACGGAAAAGGTATCGAAACCGAGCAGATTATGGATGGACCACTTGCCCAATCATTATAGTAGCAGCCATAAACTTCAAACAGGAGGCGGAAGTGGGAACAATTAATTAACGTGACGTTTGTAAGGCTATCAAAATTAAATGCATGATAGTCTTATTCTGTCTGTCTGTCAGTTTGGTGTTCGCAAACAGTTCTAGGAATTTCTTGATAGTAGGAAAGAATAGCTCATTGTATTTGACGTATAGTCCGTTTTACATGAAAGTCGAAAGTGAAATTTTGGAACATTCCGGAATTTTTAACAGATGTGCTTTACATTCTGGAATTTTATTTCACTTTCAAGGGAAATTTTGCTAATAATTACAATAATCTGAATTTACGCCCGTCGACAAAATAAGTTACCATGAAATGACTCAAAAGCAAAACATAACATTATTTTTTAAATGTCCAATCTTAGGGTAGTCTATTGTTTTCAGGGAAAAACATGGCAGCCCTAAAATTTCAGCTGAAAGTGGAATAGGTATGTCGCGCCGAATCGAAACGTTAAAAGTTATTTTATTTTTAAGAAAAGCGCATGCTCTTGGCTAATAGAATTTTTAACAAAACCCGAGACAAAACCTTTCAGTATGTAAAACGTTAAACGCGTTTAAAACATTCACAGCAACTTTATCGTTTGTCAATGTTTTTCATGTAAAAGCTAAAGTAGTATGGAACGCCGTTTTAACATTTAATGTGCAACAATACTATAATCTTAAAGCAAAGTTTTGCCCGAATTTCCATTATCTTAATGATAATTTCAAATCATTTTTTTATCTTGTTGATAATGAAAAAATAATTATTTTTATCTTGTTGATAATTTTAATTCCATTCCGCCATTTACAATTATCTCAGATAATTTCCGCCACTTAAAATTACCTGAGTTAATTGTAAATGGCTGTTTCGGCCATTTAATATTATCTGAGATAAAATGAAATGGCGCCGTGCGCTGCCTTTCTCTCTTTTTCCATATAAAACAGCGTATTTCCAACTCGCTATGACTTGCAAAGGTGGCCATTTAAAATAATAAAAGATAATCGTAAATGGTGGAAGTATTAAATGTATCTTGTTGATAATTTTGCTATTTAAATTGAAAAAATGATTTTAAATTATCATTATGATAAAAATAATTATTTTATTTTATCAACCTTTGCAAGTCATAGCCAGTTGGAAATACGCTGTTTTATAGGGAAAAAGAGAGCAAGACCGCGCACGGCGCCATTTAATTTTATCTCAGATAATATTAAATGGTTGAAATAGCAATTTACAATTATCTCAAATAATTTTAAATGGCGGAAATTATCTGAGATAATTGTAAATGGCGGAATGGAATTAAAATTATCAACAAGATAAAAATAATTATTTTTCATTATCAACAAGACAAAAAAATGATTTGAATTTATCATTAAGATAAAAAGAATGATTTAAAATTATCATTAAGATAAAATTAATTATTTAATGTCTTCGCGCCCTACTCTCCCAGCATGGCCGTCGCCCCATCCTCCTCGTGCCGTTATACGCTAGATAGGCTGTCAAGCCCCAGTGTATTATCAATATAGATGTTAACAAGTTAAAAAGTAATCGTACACGATTTACATAAAGCGCATTTCCACTTGCATTCATTTCCCATTTGTAAGATGTTGTTAAAATCGTAAAAATCCGGCCACAAATATGAAAGATTGTTGTATATGGACATTGTTGGCGTGCTACTTCAATTTCAGTTTATGAGAAGAATTTCATTTTAATGCTTTTTTAAATAAGAAAGTTGGAACTGCGCATGCGCAAACCTAAATTTTGAAACTAATGTTAGATTTTCCTTTGTTCCAAGCGCCTAAGTATCAAATTTCACTTAAATGGTTCCATAGATAAAAAAGTTGGCACTGCACATGCGCAAAATAAAATTTTGAAACTGGCGCTAGATTTTCCTTTATTCCAAGTGCCTATGTATCAAATTTCGTTTAAATTCTTCCATAAATAAAAAAGTTGACACTGCGCATGCGCAAAACCAAAATTTGAAATTGGCGTTTGATTTTCCTTTATTCCAAGTGCCTATGTATCAAATTTCATTCAAATACTTTTATAAGTAAAAAGTTTGCAATTCGGTTTATAAATGGTCGAGATGCGAAAAGGGCACTGTGCATTTTGAATCGATTCGATTCAACTTTTGGCATTGCGTATTATATGGCTAAAGCTATGCCCATATTGAATTTCATGCAATTCAGTTCATAACTAACGGAGATGTAAAAGCGATCGAACATTTCTAAACAAAGTTATCGTTCACACGGACAGATAGATGGACAGACAGACAAAGGAACAGAGGGAGAGACCAACCGGCAGGCGACAGATAGCAATGCAAAATTATAAACGATCTCTAGGATCGTTAATAAACGGCAAAAGTGTAAAATTATGGAACATGTAAAAAACGGTTTTTTGTTTTTTTTACAATAACTTTTTTTGTAAGCGGTACAGAAAAAATTCCTTCCTTGGTACAAGACTCGACACCATAACGAACCAAATAGCGAAAAAAGTAGAACAATTGCTCTTAAGATAAAGAACTAGTAGCGTCGCAAAACGAGCGGACGGACGGACAAAGTGGCTACAATAGCGCATTTTTTTTTATTTTTGTGGAAATGCGCTAAAAATGATTCGTACTGCAGTACAGTACAGTACAGGTCATGAGTTACTATCTTGCACTACCTCTGTGTTATTCAAACTTTAACAATCTGTCTTCTGCTTGCAAGATAAGACTTAAGATTAAAGGCGACACTCCAGAACGCTAGTCCGAGTCTGGTTGATTGTTTTATATATTTTATTTTTTATTATATTGTTTAAGTATATTGTAAGGGAAAAGAAGAAGGGTACTTATAGGAAGTCAGAAATTCGAAAAATACACACTGAACAGTTCATAACACATTGACATAAGTGCACCAAGAATTCAATATTGGGGTATATGTCGAGCTATAGTGCATAGTCTCAGGTTTACAGTGATCGGTAAATAAACTATAGATAAAATAATTAGAAAAAGACTTATCTACTGCTACTGTTGTGCAATGCCTATATAAGGCACGGTTGAGCGGATAGACGATAGAGGCACGCTTTATTTTTCAATGCTTAGTCGATTGGCGTTAGGTACAATGAATAGCTTATCATGTTTTCAACACGTGTTGCCGACGATTCAATGGATTACGAATATAGATCAATACTACCTATACCTGCGAGAGACATTTCATACGTGTGGTAGACATTGCGATGCTTATACCAGCATTACCTCCATTGTTTTAGTTGTTTAAAGTATTACAAAAAAGTGTTATCACCTCCATAAAGTAGGTATATCCATTCAGGTAGCCAATATTATTTTTGCTGTGTGACTAATAATTCAGGGAATACGAACAATTTCGTTATCTACCTACCGTTGTTTACCTACATACATATATAATGCAATGATAGGTACTATACTCGTGCATATATTCATTTCGGTATCGGTAAATTGGTGGCAAATTTTGCATTTGGGTTACGTAAAACTAATGGGCGATTTTTTTTAAATTACAGACAATGCAAGACGTCCTAAAAGTAAACGCAGCCGGAGATTTGACCGTCGAATGGAGTCTGCTGGAAAAGGATATTCCCGGAATTATTCTACACGATAGACTAATGACAGATGCAGCTTTAGGCAGAAGACCCATCAAACAGGAACACTCGTACAGTTTGACATCAGATGGAGATTCACTACCAGATTCGCCAATTTCCGGAAATAAAATGGACGGTGAGTCTCTGGCCCTCTGTAAGAAGTAAATGCAATCAAAATTTTCGCGGCTTATACAAAGTTTAGCCAAACTTCTCCATCTGAAACCGAAAAGTGCTCTTAATTATTATTATTTTCTACATTGCAAGCGCTTTGCAAGTTTTTTCTTCTTGAGCATTTTCGCAATTTGTTTTTGTAAATATAGGTAGGTACATATTTAAGATTATTCATCACGTTGGAAAACTTTGAACTCGGAATTACTACATGTTGTTAACAAATCTGTTATGTGCTAATCAATTCTAATTGCGATATAGAATACCTAGCTAAGCAGATTGCTTCCTTACTACTTAGATAATATAAAAGTCAACACTGGGAAAAATATGAAGAAAATTAAAATGACGACTTCGGAATTTATATTCATTTGCTGTTATTTTTTCATACATACCTAGGTATGTTTTTATACAGGCACATTACTTTTTTGCCCTACATTTTACTAATTATGAAAACGCGCGCTATTCTGATGATAAAAATATTTAGCTATCGCAAAAATTTTCGATTTTACAGTACCTATTCTTATCTCGCTAACCTTGAATTTTTACTATTTACAATCTTAATTGAAAATGGTTAATTGTTTTTTTTAACCTCTAATTGTAGTAGGTAATTAACATTTCAATTATGGACTTGAGTTTCTGTAACATTGCCTAAAATTTAACCGGCGTTTATTATAGATATGGAAGATGAATGTTTTCCTGCAATATCACTCAATACTGCCTGTGGAAGATTAACAGCAGATTCAACTCTATTGATAAAAGATGAACCAGTCAGCGAATCCGAAAGTCCACAGTCATCCTGCCCATCATCACCACAACCGATGCACCACAGTGACACATCAATGGATACGGACAACGTAAGATTTCAACCTTTTCTTCGCAGAGTAATTATTTCAATTTGCTTTAGCCAACTTGCCAAGGTTTACTAAAACAAACTAGCATGCTTTTGAGGGCGCCAAGTAATATATTCAGCCAAACGATACACATACCAAAGTTGGATTTAAAAATTGAACCGGGTATCGCGTTTAATCTACCTCCGACACCGCCATCTAGCAGTAGTAGTAGTGAAGATAGTGAAGATAATGGAACTTCGTCACAACCATCTTCTCCGGCCATTCGGAAAACAAATAATCGCGTTGTGATAACGAATCATCCTACGACTACCCGACAGCCCATTCACACGCCTCTTATCAGCAGTCAGCCCGTAAGTTGGGAATTAATTCATCAAAATCAGAAAACATTTACAAACTGCTTGCAGAAAGGGTCAACCGGCCTTCTCACTTTAACCGAAGAAGAAAAACGTACGCTAATTGCGGAAGGATATCCTGTACCTACTCGCCTCCCACTTACTAAGGCAGAAGAAAAATCTTTGAAGAAAATTAGGAGGAAGATCAAAAACAAAGTAAGTTTATTTGAGAGTTTTTGCCCAGAACTAAGATTGTTTCCTTATTAGATGGTTTCATTTTCTGTTCTTAGATTTCCCTGTAAAGCAAACATTAATTGAATTCTCCTTAACTAGCGCCCCTTTTGTGCATAGATTTTTTCCCCGTCCTTCATGGGGTGTGAATGCTATTCTATGCCACACTGGAAAGCGCTTATAAAGCCCTGAAAGTGTTACACTTTTTTGGAAGGTTTGGAAAACGCTTTCCAGAGCCTTCTACGCCCTAGAGAAGATCAAAGCGGTGCCTATAAGAGCAGGGTTGTTTCAAGAGAGTGGTGCTTAAAAGATGACAGTGTACTAGAGAGGCTAAGGGAGCGCTGAAAAGTGGTATTATAGGTGACACCAAGAAATTTTAGGCTTAGGCTTAAACAACCACAGTGGCTCACATGGCTGACTACGTTAGCTAGCCTCTGGAGCAGTCTTGACCTACTTTTCTTTAGATAACCAAAAATGAAATACTTATAACAAACTACTTTATTGCACAATCAATCCACTTTACCCGACCATTTAAACTAAACAATGCAAAACTTATCATTGCAAGGGTACGTACAGTAGGCTACATGAAACTATCACGCTACTTACTTGGGATTAAGATTTTTCTCAAAAACTTTAAGGATTGGCACCGACAAACATATTCAGATGTAACTTCCATTAGTCCCATTGACAGATTCGTTTTCTCTAGATCCTCCATTTTCCCTTCCCTCCGCTTTCTAGATATTTGTGTAAAAATGTGTTACTACCACAGACAGATATATATTCGTTGTGAGAGCACCATATTCCGACACGTTGCTTTTGAGAAATCCGAATATGAATGTTTTTGGGACAAATAGGTGTAATGATCTTAGGGGTCTCCCAAGCCAACATTTAAATGTTGACTTACCCTATACTTACCGTTAGCAACTCTGAGGAAAAAACTATGAGCAGAGCCACCTACCTTTCAAGTCGAAACGATGGACGTTTCGCGGTACTTTTGAAACTCGATAGCGGTCGGCCCAATATGGAGGATACGAATGAACTCCTACGTTGTGTAATTGGTTCTTCTATCTGTTGGGACATGAGAAAGGAATATGAAAATGAAATTTATTACGCACGAGGCTTGGTTCCGCGGAGCAAATCCAAGCCGAAATTCAGGGAAAAAGGAACCAGCAATAAAAATCCTGGCATAACACACACAAATACACGAAATAAATCAAATACAGCAACAAAATGCAAGAGAAAATACACAAATAAAACATCTCAAATTGCACAATAAAAATGAGGTAATCGAATCATAATGCAAGTGGAAAATATGATTAAACAATTTAGTACAAAAACACATTAAAATGCATGTACGATCAATTGAAATGAAATAACTCGTATAAAATGATAAATTGCATGTACATGGGAAAACATCAAAATGCAGTGGCTCTACTTCAGCCTCGATTAACATAAATTAATTTAACACGAAAAGTATATGTGAGAATGCCAATAACATGTATTCATGGGGAAATCGATTATCGCTCAACCAAAACATATTTTCAATAGAGGAAATGTTAATTGGAGGGCCCCTTAATTCTTCTTTTGCTAAGATGCCAAGAAGTGCGATCCGCACGAGACGAGTAGGCAACAGATACAGCTAGTAGACGGGTGCGCGCTAGTGCTTCAGTTTAACGCGGGTCACCTGTAATTCCAAAATGGTTTCTGGACTTTTTTTTTGCTGCATTAGTGGGAAGGCTATATACAGGGTGTTACATTTAAGTATGTAAAATAATTGGATTGTGGAGGGGATCAAAACAAGTACTTTTTCCACATAAACAGAGGGTCCAACATGTTTCGTTTGGGAGCCGCCCTAAAAAAAGTGATGAAATGTGCGTTTCTTTATTCATTTTTTCTCAGCAACCATAAAAGTAAAAACGACTGGCGGCACGTCCTTGAATAGGTTTTGGGGTGTCCTATCCAATTTTGCAAATTTTTTTCAAAATTCCTACCACGACAGGGCGCATCCCTGAATGGAGGTCGGAAATAAAATCGATTTCGACGCAGTTTTGTATCTGGGAAAATTTGGTTTTCTCTCAAAATCAATAGAGTGATGACCATGAACTGCGAATACTGCTATATACATTTTAGTCCCAACGAGAATTGGCTTGTAGTGTCAGACAAATAGACATAAATATGATCAATGGCTGCAGTCTGCTGTAATGCTTTCAGATTTATGTAGTATTTGAATATTTATTTGAATGTTTTATCAAAAACATTCAATCGTGTTCATGGGAGCTAATTATGTGATTTTACTTACATGTATAATTGCAATTGTTTGCTTGTATATAAAAACTTGTAATTATGTTGAAATTCACACAGAATATCGAATTTGAAATAAATAAATCAAATTTGGGGGGGGGGGGGTTGCATTGAAATAGAGTGGGCCATCTCATAGCAAATTTTATTTCGTATTTACCTAAAGGAGAGATTTAAATTTTTGTTCATTCATTGTGGGAAGTATATTCACAACAAGCACTGGAGGGGGGTAGCATTTGGACGTCCAATCAGCGATGGTTCATGAAGATATATAGAAATGTTTGCATTGTGAAAGACATGTATATTTTATTTTGTTACAGATTTCTGCACAAGAAAGCAGAAGGAAAAAGAAAGAGTACATGGACCAACTGGAAAGGAAGGTGGAACTGTTGGTCTCAGAAAACAACGATTACAGGAAAAAAATCGAAACTTTGGAAGATTCCAACAGTAGCCTTCTAAGTCAACTAGCGAAATTACAAGCACTCGTTGCGCGAACCCATCCTCAAACGTTAAAAACAACTGCTGTAAAATAAATTTGTTTATTTAATTGATAATGCGAATTTTCGTTTTACCATAATAATTGTTAACATAATTATGGAAATCATCAATCTAAATCAAAGTACAAATCTATAAGCTCTTATTGTCTAATATTGATGATCGTAAGGTAGGTATTACAATTTTGAGTATGATACAATCCGTGCATTTATTTTATCGAAATCGACGTTGTGATGAAGTATATTTGTCTTCCAAATATCTCTTCGAGAAAAAAGTGAGAATTAGATTAATGCATTCCGTGAACCAAAGTTAAGAGATTTATATTTTATGATAAATAGCAAATTGGCGTGTTTAATGAATTTGTTAGGTTTTACACACTTTAACATTGTACTTAATTAACGATGGTATAAACAAGACTTATTAGGTATGTGCCTTAAAACATGCCTTCGGCTTTTTATATTTTTACGGATTATTTTTCCACCTAATTATTATAGATAATGTATATTCGGTGTTTATGGCTGAAAAGGGACCATATGGAAGTTTATGCATTTATTTTGCATGAAATTGTTTAGGCTTAATCTTAGGCACATCTGTATAGTTTACATTAAACACTGTTAGCGATGTTTATAGCTTGTTTCAAGTTGATTTAGCAAACTTGGAATGTGTTTGCATAATTTTCTTTTCGAAAATGTTACTACCGGAGATATCCAAATTATGTACTTGTGCCTCATTTTTATCTCCATTTTATTATAAATGAATAAATGATTATAAGGCTCAATTTACGATTCGAATTAGATCATTAGAGAAGCACTTATTTGTATTAATACGATAATTTAGTCACAAAATTGCAGAGCTTTCAAAGATACCTACTATTCTATAATAAAACCTTTAATTACAACTTTAGGAAGGTGCGAAGTTCCTGTTCGTTTAAAGTGTATTGTCATAAACATAGTGCACGAAAATTCAAAATTTTTTATTCTCGCCCTTAACGATGTATCAAGTAATATTTTGCTTGAATCACTAATCTAGTCAATGAAGTTTTCATTAAGTATTGATTGGAATTAATGTGCGTTGTTTGTATACAATACAGTGTACAGCTTGACTTTCTTAATTTGGAAATAAATAAATTTTCAAATAATGACAGTGCATTTGGTGTTACTATTATCACAACTTTAAGGAATATTTGCAATATTAATCGCAAAGTCCTAGTCTACTATATAGGTCGATAATATACTTTGAGTGAAATATTTTATTGTCTTTTTGTTTCTTTATTGCATAATCTGAAGCTTTGCAATTTAAATAATATTTAACTTAATTAGATGTAGTATTATTGCACAAGATTTTAATATTGAATTGTCACATATAGAGATATATTTTAGATAACATATATACATATTATAAATATATTAACTGTTGTACATTTTAAATCGAAAATTTTATGTAGTTATTAAAGTAATGAGACGTTTTTAATATAATTTAATTGATTATTAATACAAACTATAATGCAACTAAAGAGTATATAAGTTTATGTAACAGAAATTCTGTTCTCACTGCAATTATTGAGAACATTGTTGCAAAAATGTAAGTGGATAGTTGTTGACTACTTTTATATTGTAAATTTCCCAGCTCATCTGTAACAATCGTAGATTGTCAAAGTATTTACTTAGAATAATACCGAAATGCTTTATTACTACATTTATATTACGCAAGTTTTGCAGGTGTACATACGCAATCCTTATTTTTAGTTAAAGAGGGTAACAATATATTTATAAGCATCTTAATTTTTAATTGTCTTTTGTTGCACGTTTTACATGACTGTAACATGAAATTTCATTTTAAGAAACCTATTTATCAGGTTAAAATTCATAATATGTTTTTAGTTCAAAGTGATTAGACCACATTCCCATGCAGCAGAAAAATTGAGTTGTTAGGAATCGCCAATCACATTGTTTAATTTGACTTCATAGTTTTTACTTTTGTGCTACATGGGGAATTTGCCTTTTTTTCAACATTTGGAAAAACCTGCAGCTGATGGACTTTTACCAGATGCTTTTCATTTGACCATTGGGTAACATTTTGTGTTTACTTATAGACGTAGTCATGATAAAAATAAATTATAAAATATTCTATTTTATTTTTCCTTTTATTATAGCCCAGGCATTTTAGGTTTTGACCCTACGAAAAATAACGTAAATCTGAAAGTTGGCACAGTTGTTTTATTTGATGCTCTGAACAACATATAAAAAGTCCCAAGAGTTCCCATGTCGGCTTCCTTGAAGTTTGGGCTTTCGAAAGTCCGAACTCTTGAAATCTGCACGACGCCACAATAATTATTGCCTAGCGGACGAATGGAACAAGTCCCAGAGTCGCGGGAGGGCTTAAATTAAAGGTTAGTAACCAGGCTATCTTTTGACAACTTCCGGCCAGACAGGAAGTGGAAAAAGACCGTGAAACTTGACAAAAAAATCGGTTTTTGTTTTTTGTTTGGACATAGGTGCGATTTAGCGTCCGATATCGGAAAAATGACCAAAACAAATGTTGTAGAGCGTAGTTTTAACTTTAAAACCGTACCCTTTGCGTTGAAATCCGACCAATACGAGGGGAGCTACAAACCGTTAAGTGCGATCCCACGCGCCGCTCGCCGTTGCGCGACTTGCCTGAGAGGTGCACCAGATCGACCAGATACGGTTGGCTTAATAGCGGCGCATCTCTGACTTATTTGTATTTCGACTGTGAGCGTTTTAGACTTTTGGAAAGTGTTTAGCGCGTAAATTTTGAGGGAAACTGTACAGTATTTTTTTCTAAACAAAACAATCCATATTAAAAATTGTTGAGTAAACTTCGTCTTAAAACAAAGACAGGTTCGCTGTTTTAATTCGACGTTCCTTCTCCATCGGATTCTTCGTCTTCGGACTGGGGTTCGGGAACATTATTACAGCTCCTGCCTCTACAATGGGCGCATGTAGGTTGGCAGAGCCGCACGAACAGCGGTTAAAACAACCTTGCTGGCAAGCGCAAGAAATCAAATGTAGATGTTCGTCTGGTGCTGGTGGCAGACTTGTCAGATTTGGAACAAGTGTGGGCCCCATTTTTTTTAGCCCCAATCCGTTGGTAAAAGACTGTTCGATAGCCTTTCTTGAACCTAAAATAAGGAAAATAGGAAATAGAATTAACTAAATCATTCTAAAAACTATTGTACAATCAGATTCCATATAAACCTCTCGCCAGGAAAGATTGCCGGTCACAGAAGACCTGATCCCGGTCTACAACCTGTTTTATTCTAAAGATGTGAGCGACTTCCAGGATAGGATCGTGCCAATCTTGAACGAAAAGTCTTTTCGTTCAACATTGGCACGATCCTATTCCGGAAGTCGCTCGCATCTTAAAAAAAACATAGATTGTAATTTGACACAAGGTGCGCTGTGACCGGCAATCTTTCCTGGCGAGAGTCTTCTTTACTGCCGTAGAGATGAACAATAAATTTTTCACCAGCTGATACGATCGATTCTTTTGATGTGCCCGGTTTGTTGAACGTGAACGCAATATTTTGTAGGTGTGGGTTTTCTAAAAGCTTCCATGACTTCTTTTTTCCTTGGTTGTACAGCGCCGATGTATTATCGCAGCCCGTTATCGCACGAAGGAATAGGCGCGAAGAAAGACTGCCTACTATTCCTTCATGCGATAAAGGGTTGCGATACTACATCAGCGCTGTACAACCAAGGAAAAAAGAAGGCATGGAAGCTTTTAGAAAACCCACACCTACAAAATCTTGCATTCACGTTCAACAAACCGGGCACACCAAAAGAATCCATCGTATCAGCTGGTGAAAAACGTATTGTCCATATCTACGGCAGTAAAGAAGACAATCAAAGCCTGGACGATCTCCAAATTCACCTATATGCTCGCGCAGTAGCAAAGCTACGTTTGATTTAGCTACATTGCCGCCAACAACCGCCGCTGCCGAGCAAAACAGTTTGCGGACGTACTTGCAAGTGAGATATGGAATCTGATTGTACAGTAGTTTTTAGAAAGATTTAGTTAATTCTATTTCTTATTTTCCTTACTTTAGGTTCACGAATGGCCATCGAACAGTTTCTTGCCAACGGATTGGGGCTGGAAAAAAATGGGGCCCACACTTGTTCCAAATCCGACAAATCTGCCACCAGCACCAGACGAACATCTACATTTGATTTCTTGCGCTTGCCAGCAAGGTTGTCAAAATACAAATAAGTCAGAGATGCGCCGCTATTAAGCCAACCGTATCTGGTCGATCTGGTGCACCTCTCAGGCAAGTCGCGCAACGGCGAGCGGCGCGTGGGATCGCACTTAACGGTTTCTAGCTCCCCTCCTATTGGTCGGATTTCAACGCAAAGGGTACGGTTTTAAAGTTAAAACTACGCTCTACAACATTTGTTTTGGTCATTTTTCCGATATCGGACGCTAAACCGCACCTATGTCCAAACAAAAAACAAAAACTGATTTTTTTGTCAAGTTTCGCGGTCTTTTTCCACTTCCTGTCTGGCCGGAAGTTGTCACTGGCACTTGCAAAAAATATCAAAAGATAGCCTGGTTACTAACCTTTAATTTAATTTAAGCCCTCCCGCGACTCTGGGACTTGTTCCGTTCGTTCGCTAGGATATAATTATAGTGGCGTCGTGCAGATTTCAAGAGCTCGGACTTTCGAAAGCCCGACCTTCAAGGAAGCCGACATGGGAACTCTTGGGACTTTTTATATGTTGTTCAGGGCATCAAATAGAACAACTGTGCCAACTTTTAGATTTACGTTATTTTTCGTAGGGTTGACCCCATTTCTGATCTAAAATGCCTGGGCTATTATTGCAGCTTCGAGCTATGCTCACACCAATGAACACATTGCATTCCATGATGCCTACACCACAACCAACAAGCATGGCATTAAACAATTGATCAATCCCCGGGCTCAGACGTTCTTAAGATGAACCCAGGCATTCTTAATGAATATCGTAAAAACAAATATCCGTGAATTGATTTTCCTTTATTATGGATCAAGTTTCGTTAAATGCTTCCATCAAGATATATTAAATCTATATATCTTGGCTTCCATAAATAAAAAAGTTGGCACTGCGTATGCGCAAAACCAAATTTTGAAACGCGTTTGATTTTCCTTTATTCCTGTATCAAATTTCATTTAAATACTTTTGTAAATAAAAAAGTTTGCAATTCGGTTTATAAATGGTCGAGATGCGAAAAGGGCAGCTATGCCCATATTGAATTTCATGCAATTCAGATCATAACTAACGGAGATGTCAAAGCGATCGGACATTTCTAAACAAAGATCGTTCACACGGACAGACAGATGACAGAAAGCAATACAAAATTATAAACGATCTCTATGATCGTTAATAAATGGCAAAAGTGTAAAATTATGGAACATGTAAAAAACGGTTTTTTGGTTTTTTTACAATAACTTTTTTAGCAATAAACGCAGAAAAAATTTCTTCCTTGGTGCAAGCCGCGACACCATACCGAACCAAATAGCGAAAAAAGTAGAACAATAGCTCTTAAGATAAAGAACTAGTAGCGTCTCAACGAACGAGCGGACGGGCGGACCAAGTGGCCACAATATTAGCGCATTTATTTTTTATTTTTGTGGAAATGCGCTAAGCTAAACATACTATAAGATTCACGTGTATAATTGGTCTTTAAAGCACTTGCAATGTTAAAGGCACTCCGCTTCGCGTCGTGCCATTAAACTCGTTGCGCGTGCTTTAAAGACTTCATTATACACTTGTATCTTAATACACTATTTCTGTGACGAGGAAATCAATAGGAATTTTGAAGTCGTATCGATTTATAGAAAGCAAACATTACACCAAAAATGTAAACAATTACCAACAATAGCATAACGGTATCTCACATATGATTGCATTGCAGTTAAACCAAGTAAATTTCAAAAACAAATATTGAAACACACAAAAAATATAAAATGCGGCAAACAAAACACAAATACGATTTAAAGAAATGCAAAAATTACTACCTGCATTAAATAACACAAAATAACAACAATCATTTATGGAGTGACGCGTTCACGACCGCCATTCAAAACAAGATGCCAAACGTAACTCCTATTCGTGCTTTCTAGATGGCGCAGGCAGCTTTTTTCCCACATAGATATATAAATACATAGATACAGCCATACCCCAACATAGTTCAAAAGGACGTACCATCTATTACCATCACTTTCGGCACATTAATTACGTATAGCGCTATCCTTTATAGAGGTACCCTGAGCATGGAAGACAAGATTCGCATTATTTATTATAACTGTCAATCAAATTGTTCGCACAAGTCACACAGAAAATTATCAGATTTGAGACTTTACAACATAAATAAACCGCCTTTTTATTTATTTAAATCGCATAGCAGCAAGAAATGTTACATTTAAAATGGAAGATGTTACTTAGAAAGCTGGCAAATGAAGAATTTGAAAAAATTACAGCTGACAACTCGAAGAAAGTGTGTGAACATGTGGAAAGTGATTAATTTAAAAGAGAAATTATATTGGTTGATGTTTCTGAACTTTATAATAAGTGTTAATAATGGCAGTGATGATTCGGATTTGTCAATTTCATCTGACGATTATTCGGATTGTGAACTTTTAGAAACGTAATGAATGTTCGCTAAATGAGTATTACCACCAATTGGATATCATTGTTAAGATGTTGTATTTATTTTAAATAAATGTACACGTGTAGCTTGCTTACTACAATTAGCACTATAATTTCAAAAAGAAACCCCACCGATTGGACATATGCCGAAAGGTAGGCAAGACGCGTAGCGATAAAAAATTTGATATTGCACGCACACACAGTCTATAAATCTCGTTTTCCTAAGAATATTGCACGGATCCTGTGATCATGATACAAACGCACTGCATCAACATCATATAGGCCAAAATGATAATTGGAAACGAATTCACTTCCTGTCGCAACTTAATCTCCGTTACCATTACGCCTAAAACCATGCAATTAAAATTAAAATGTTGAACATAAACTTTACTTACTTACGGTTTTTTTGATATTCTGCAAGCCAGCAATGAATTCACTGCAGCACATCATGCCAAACAACGTAAACATAGTCCCAAATTTAA